CGAAGCCAGGTTTTGGCGCCAAAAGTCAAAAATAACGGCCTCGAAACAGAGAAGCTAGCTTCGAAGCATTTTTCCATGCTTAAAGATGTAAGGATGGTAAAGTGTTTGTTCGTTTCAAAGGGGTTAAAGACCTGTTTTAGGTTTCTTAATGAAAGTGATGTCTTTCGAAGCAAAACTTGGGGCCCCTTGAGGATGGAAATTGGTGTTCGAAACATCAAAACCAATAATTGGTTTATATATACACAAAGAGAATTGTCTTTTCGGATTAAAATAATGCAATCCCAAGAGCAGTTTCCATATTGTTGCAAGTGTGGATTGATGTTCGAAGCAAAAATACTCAGTACTAACCATAACTATATTTTGGTTATGAATAAAATAGGCTTTAAGGGGTAAGATTGTTAAATTCGAAGCAACAATTCTATACGAAGATCAACAAAAGTTGGTAACCATAGTCCATAAGTTGGAAAATCCATTCCAGCATTCTTATTGGAATTAATTGGATCTATGTTTGAAGGTTGAAATTGGTTAATTCGAAGCCCTCAACTTGCTTGTAAAGACAAACAGAGATCAAAATCAAACAATGCCAAACAAAGAGAAAAGACTTAGATGTATCGAAATAAAAGCGATTACATTAAAAGTTCCTCTTTTGGTACAAATTCCAGTTCATAGAAGTAAGGAATAGAATAAATGACAAGATCATGAAATTTAGCCCAACTATGATTGATGAATTTATGTTCTTTCTTTATTCTATCTTCTATTTCTTCTAGGATTAGTTGCTGAAGTTGGTGTGCCCTCACTTCATAAAAGAGCTCTTCAGCCTTTATTTCGAACGCTGTTTCTCTCAGTCCTCGTTCCAACTCATCCATTTCCAAATCATCCCAGTACGCAGAGTCCTTATTTTGAAAGTCGTTGTATTCTTCGACGAGGTTCTCTGCTTCATATCGAGAATGAACTCGGAGCGATAAAAGTTGATCCAAGGATTGAGTGGTAGCCAAAGAAGTGCGGTGCCAATGGAGAAGTGATGGAAGTTGGTCCAAAATCATGTGAAGTTCTACTTGAGCAATGGGGTTGAGAACATGGCCCCGAGTCAGAATATTACAAGCCCATCGAAAGTTCTTGAGTGGAACATCGTCCTCAAGAACATTAAAGGGTAGCTGAGAAAAGGCTGCAAGCAGGAGTTGGGCCTACTTTTGGTGAGCTGGAGTAGGAGAAGGTGGAGACTCATAAGGAGGGAAAACTTTCTCTGCGGAAAGGGTAAGCTTCAACTTCTCTATCCAGGGAAGTTTTTTCGGAAGAGGAGGTATAGAGGCCCCCATTTCGAAAGAAAGAGGAAATCGAGGAGCATTGATGCAATCAAGCCAGTTAGAAGGATGAAGCTTCGCCTTCTTGGCTAAAAATGAAGGGCTATACCCCTGTGCCTCTTCTGGGCGGGGAACAGATCGTACCATTTTTGTAGGCATAGATGATGTGTACCATGCCACGAATAGACTGTCCTCTAAACTACGTCGACGGTCGATAGGCATGTAAGGATAAACCATCGAGTTTCGCGCATAAGAAGGAAAGTCTAACGGGTTGGTGAATTCGACAAAGTGATGGTTAATTCGCTCCCTTAATTCCCAGACCTCAGGTTCTGACCAGATTGACCAGCCTAAAGCCCGGGAGGAGGTTAAAGCCACAGCCTTATCCCATGCAGAGGATTGTGAAGAGGGGCCTCCTATGTCTATATCTCCAACCTTGTGAGTCAAAGGACTAAGGGCAGTTTGTTCACAGTCCAAGGGTGGATCAGAAGAAGAATTTCCCATGTCCATGTTTGCAACTTTCTGAATCAAAGGATTAAAGGCAATGTGTTCGTAACCCAAAGGTTGGTAATTTGCAAAGGCTTCCATGACTTGAATATAGAAAGGCGGGTAAAGGTGGCTAATGAATGCATGGAGATTCTTTCGAGGGGAAGCAGCATTATCCAATGGCTCTTCATATGCCCGATCAATAGAGAAGAAAGTTGATTCGGCCATAGAAGAGGTATCAATCTGTTCGAATGCTAAGATATTAGGATGTTCAAAAGATTGAAAGAGAGTTAATGCAAATGATCATCAATAAATGAAGGTTGTGTTTCCAAAATATAGACTCCATGCACGTTCTAAAAACGCGGGAGAAAGGCTTTGATCCACTAATATCACCAAGTATTGGGTATATTAGTGTGGGGGGTAATGTTGGCTACATATTTTGTATAAGTTAGTTACAATTCGACACGTGGCAGAATAAGGGTAATATAGGAAGATTACTCTAGTCTTCGATCCTAATCGTACACGTGGCAGTTAATATTGGTTCTCACGTGATTTGAGTAGCATTGGATCAGTAAAGAGATGCAAGGTGACGTGGCTTCAATGGTTACTCACATTCAAATTCAAATATAGAAGGGAAGCCCAACTGCAAGTGATGGCATAGTGGAACTACTTATAAGTCAGCATGATCAATGATCATGAACGAGTAGTTCGACGGTTTGAAGTGCAGTTCGATGGTCATCTTTGAGAAGTATAAATAGCAGAGAAGATCCCAGAAAAAACCCCCAGACTCAGATCCAACAAACCAGTCATTTACTTCATATTTTCTTTTCCAGTTTTACATTTCCTGCTCTTTAAATTCATGTTCTTTACATTCCTGCACTTTAAATTACTGCACTACACTTCATTTATAGGAGTAGTTTCAAGTAGATTGTTGCTGTAAACCTCTACGAGGCTGAGTTTGGATCATTGTAAGTTTTCATTCTAATGAAATACTTCAATTGTTCTTCATTTAACTGTTATTTTGCTTAATTTCTCCTAAGTCAAGCCACCAGTAAAAGTCCTCTTCATTGAGGCTGAAAGAACTAAAACACAATCGTCTGATAATTGGTTGGCAATTAAAATTTCTATAAGAACTGATTGATTCTTGCTGGCACGCTCGCATTTACAAAAATAACCTTCGAAAGCCAAAAAGCCAACAGAAACACCAACCCAAATACATAACATAACTTTACACCAACCCATATAAATTGAAAGATGCATAAATAAAAAAATGAAAAAAGAAACAGAACACAAAAAAAAGAAAGAGAAATCCAAATACATATCAGTTTAAGGTTTAAAAACACAAATCCAACACAAACACATCAGTCTAAGGTTTAGAAAAACAAATACAAATCCAAATCTTAGAAACACAAACCCAAATTGATGGGTCTCTTTTGCTTTGATTGAAAAGAAACATAATGATTTTCAATGCTCTGTTCCAATGCTTTGTGTCTCTTAAGCTTTGTTTCCAACTTGTTATGTGGTTCCATTAAATGCATACCTAATCACACAAAACCAAACAGAAATCTTAGAAACACAAACACCAATCAAAACCGAAATCTTAGAAACACAACCTAATCAACAAAAATATATAAAAATAATAATAATAATAACACAAATCCAACACAATGAAACATTGAAAACCATTTGAAAAATCACTTAAGAATATCTTAAAAATCATTTGAAAACCATTTCATGAGGATGGATTATTATTTCAAACCCAAGGATTAGTTTGTATACCATACTACAAAATGAGTAAAAAAAAAAAAAAACCGCTCTTTCAACCCACCTAAATATTTCAATAAAGTTGCTCTACTAATTTTTTAGCAACTTCACATCTCCTTTCATGGTTACCTTCGTAACACAAACACAAAGTTGCTCACCAGTAGTGGGTTGAGATCTAATAGGGAGAAGAGATGAAGAGTTGCTATCGGTGGAGATCGGAGGCGACGCGACGGTGAAGACGACGCGATGGTGGAAACGGAGTGGCAGTGGAGAGGAGGGAGAGGAAGAGAGAGATCTCTGAGGACAGAGAGTTTGAGACCTGAGAAGTTGGAGAGGAGATCGGAAGCGGCGCGACGGTGGAGACGACTCGATGGTAGAGAGGAGGGAGAGGAAGAGAGAGATCTCAGAGGACAGAGTTTGAGACCTGAGAAGTTGAAGAGAGAGAGAGAGAGAAAGAGAGAAGTGTGCAAATAATGTTTGGAGTGGGTGGAACACATGAGAGAGAGGGGATTGTTTTGGGCGGGAATTGAAAATATTACAAAGCATCTCAGCCCTCCATGGTTAAAAAAAACTCATCTCAGCCGTTGAATTGAAATGTATCTCTCATATATTTGAAGACATTTTCAAAAAGCCTCTTGCCTTATTATATAGATATTAGATGTTTGAAGATTATTTATAAATTACTAGTATTAAAATCATAATATAATCTTGGATTTAGGCTTACATATGTAATTTATGATATTATATAGATGATTGAAGATTTTATTTGGTTTGATCTTATGATTCTTAAATTTGCCAAAAATGTTGTACAAATTTTTAGACAATTTTATATTCAAATTTTCGAGATGGTTCTCTACAAAATTGTTAAGAATGATGTTTAGATCACCCAAAAATTTTTGTATCAATTATTTTATCTTTGTACAAATATATATAAAATTTTAATTAAATCTGAATTTTAGACAAATTTTGCTTCATGCTTGGAAAATCATTAAAAATCCTATAATAGGCCAAATCTACTATTTTCTGAGTTAAAAGTGAAATTTGAGAAGTCTAATTACATCATCAATTTTTAGATTATGGATTTAATTTATAAATTTCAGTGTGAAATTATTTTAAGAAAATGTGACAAATCTATGTCATATAATTACTTGTAATTTTGTAGAAATATTTATAATTTATTTTTGAAAAATGACCATAACATGTTTGTTGAACATTTATGAGAATTACATGAATTTTAGAATTGTATAAATAATTTATTTGTAATTTTACGTATGAAATTTATTTTCTAAAAAATTCTGGGCACAACTAAACATAAGTATTGTGCTAGTCTATTTAATTGGATATTGTAAAATTAGTAGTTCATGCATGTGTGTTGTTATGATTTATTTTAGTAATTAAAATTATTATTTCACATGATGACTTGACTTAACTTTTACAATAATTTGTACATTGATGGATTATTGTAGAACGTATGTGTCAATATTTTTTGTTGAAAATTATATTAAAATGATATAACATCAATGGTGATCTAATTTTGTAATTATTAGTGATTATTATGAAAATTAATTAAAATAATCAACAGAGTGTACGAAATTAACGGTTGATGGTTAATATCGGTTCTTAAAAATTTTATTAAAATGGTATAATCTGATTTGTGATTTTATTTTGGTGATTTTGAATGCACCGGAAGAAGAACGAGACAAAAATTACCACTTGCATATGAGACAAAATTAATTGGTTTGCAGTTGTGCTAAATTGAAATTGGATCTTTGAAAATTGAATTGTCTTTTTGTTTTTTGTTTTTTTCCTTCTGATTTTTCTTTGTTAATAGGTATCGTGCCATCACTAGTGCTTACTATAGAGAAGCCGTTGGTGCTCTACTTGTTTATGATGTCATTCGACATGCTATATTCGCAAATGTTGAGAGGTGGTTGAAGGAATTGAGGGAGTCCCTATATTTCATGGAGACTTCTACACTGCAAGCAACCAATGTGGAAAATGCATTTATAGAAGCACTTAGTCAGATATACCGCATTGTGAGTAAGAGACCCGTTGAGGCCGGTGATGGTGGCGCGGCTTCGTTTGTTCAGGCTAAAGGACAGACAATGTCAAAGATGACGTGTCTGCTTGGAAGAGAATTGGATGCTGTTCGAGCTGGGGTTTGCTAACCACGAGAATACAACAAGGTATATTTTCACAAAATTTGTACTTAGATAAGAGCATGGATTAAACATCATGTAGAATATGAAATCAAAGTGCTTAGATATGTTGTAAATACTGTCAAAAAGGATTGATGTTATTCTCATTTTTATTTTTTGGGCTTTTATTATTTACTTGTATATTTACATTTGCATTGATTTTCCCAAAACTTCACGCTCGCTCTCACATTATTTATTTAATTTTTTTTGTTCTTGTTGGGGTCGATAACTTGTGTCATATGTAAGATTTTCACTGTGCCATGTTTTTCAGGGTTGTTGCCTTGGAATGAGTCAACATTTTAGTTTAAAAAATTAGAACTCAATGCCATGCAATATGAGATCGACACTATTATGAAAAACACTTAGAAAAAATGTACTAAGGACATCTCCAACGGTTCACCAAATATTTCATCAAATTTGAGTAAAAAAATTTCATCAAATATAAGTAAAAAAAAGTATAAATTCGTCCATTTGATATCAGCTACTCCAATAGTGAATTTGTTACTGTCATCAAAACACAGGTCAACCGGGGGACGACCGGCCGGTCGACAGACAACTGTAATCCAGCTTAGCAAGTGCACTGCTTGTATGATTTCCCCCCCTTTTTTCTTCAAGTTCTGCCATTATTCCCCCCCCCCAACCCCCCCCCCTCCTTTTTTTTCTTCTCTGTTTATGGATGATTTTGATCAATTTGGATATACTAAAATGCGAAATTGTGATTGTGTTTGTGACAAGAGTTTTGGGTTGGAAATGAAGAACTTGTTGACATGTATGAAAGGAGAATTGGTGATGGTGGCTATATCACTTTCAAGCTTGCCCGCACCAACAACCGTGGCGATGGTATACTCTGATCTCTATATTCAGTCTTATTTAATCAAAGATGTTATGGAGTCTCTATGTAATAGATCTTTCAAAATTTATCTGATTGATCATATATATATATGGGTGGATGGGTGTATGTGTGTGTTTGAATACAATGGGACTTTTTTCTGTGTTTAAGTGGAACTTTTTTCTGTGTTTGTTTTTTTTTCTTCAAATGATTACATTTTTCATGATAAGAAATGCATTGGTGATATCTCCCGTTGATGGATTTTTCCTTTTCTTTGGTTTTGTTTGGGTACAGCACATTTAGAAGCCTCTTGGAGAGTAGGAATTAATGTCATCCCATCCCATCATTTGGATAATAACTTTGATAAATAGTTCTGTTGTGTGTAACATGCTATCATGATTATATTTCTCTGTTCTTTATCCTACCTTGGCTATTAACTCTTCGTTCCTATATGTCTATTCGTGTAACTGATATCCAGTCATGTTAAACTAGTAATATTTTGTTAAGTCAGAATTCTGAAGCGAATAGTGCTGAGGACGTGCTCAGTTTATAAGTTAAAGTTTAGTATATTCTCCAGGATTGTTGGTGCATTGTGCATGAATTTTGAATAAAACCCCCTTTTTTTTGTACCAACAAAGAAGGTAGGTCAAAAAAAAGATGAAGAGGTGGTATCCGGGGGTCAACCGGGCCGTCAACCAGGAGGTCGACTAGTCAATGTAAATTTTTCACAAATTATGCCTTGAGGTGGTCATCCGGGGGACATCCGGCCGGACGTCCAGCCGGTCGTCCGGTGGATCAACACTCAACAGCTATGCACAGTAAATTGTTGAAAGGTACAAGATATCCTCAGTTTTGTGAAACATTTGTTATATTCTCAATTCGATGCAAGTTTGATAAAACCATTGGAGCACAAAAAAAGAAACTTTTTCACCAAATTTGAATTTGGTGATGGATTTGGTGCAGCGTTGGAGATGGCCTGAGGTGTTCCAAAACATCTCGGGCACAAAGTTAATGCAAATAGAGATCGAATGACTTTATCTTATCATCCTAGGCATTTAAAGCATGTAGGATAAAGCAATGTCATCAACCTATGAAATGTAAAACTTAAAAAGATCACTTAAGAAATGGAAATATATATATTTTTTTGAGAAATAAGAAATGGAAATATAAGAAACTGACATGTTTTTCTATATCATATATATATATACATAAATTCTTTAAAATGAATTTTAGGTAATCTAACAAATCCAAACTCTAAATTTAGATAGTGATTCCAAATTTTAACTAAACCTGGAGGCCTGAGTTCTAGTTGAATCCTAAGTCAACTCAGAATAGATTTACAAGAATTGTTTTTCTAGCATTTTAAAGGTCCAAATTTGAGAGCCACATTCATACTAAACCTGTTTACCCACTCAATTACACCCATTTGAAAACTGTTCAAATCTATAAACCAGTCTAAATAGATTAGACATAAGTACTCGTTTAAACTACCAACTCCTCCACCACCACCATCTGCCCTTTCAAAAGATTTCCTGCATCAAAATTGATTTAAAAACCCCTCCATCATTAGAAAAATAGTTCAATAAAATGTGTTTGTTAAGTTTATTTGTTCAACCCGTACTCAGTTTTATTAAATGGGACGGGTTTGGATTGAATTATTTTATTACACAACTCATTAACTGACACCAAAGTTCCATGAACTCAACCATATGCAACTCTTTGCATATACATCATTCAGATATGACATACAAAAATTTACATCTTAGGCAGTTGGTTTAAACATAACCCTTAATGATAAAGGAGGGAGAAGGTTACTTTTTCCATTTATTATTTTTTTTTTTATCAGCAAACAAAGAAAAGAATTTTATTAATCATCAAGAACAAAAGCATACAAAAAGCAAAGGCTACAGAAGAAAAATGCATCATTGTCAAAACACAAAGAATAGAGTTGAAGAAATTCCAACTCCAAACACACACACACACACACACACACACACACAAACTGTACTGCTACCAATTTAGGCCAAAAACACCAGCAGCTGACCACATCATGGGACATAAACCCCAGAACATCACCTACCACCGTTCACACAAAATGTAACCTGCTCCAAATTCGAGAATAAATCATTCACTGAGAAGAACATATCAGATGAATGAAGCTTTACCCATAAAGCTATTCTTACTTTTACAAGCTCACACAGTTCACCCGGAAACAGACTAAAGTACCGCTATAGGAACAGAACAATTTTCCAAATCTACAATTCGAACTTTCTAAAACCACTGTAGTAAGTCTTCCACTGACCCTGGTATTACCCATTGAAACCCCCCACCAATTCATCATTTAGGACCAAACTTTCCAAACAAAATGGCAAAATAGCAGAATATGATTCAGAGTTTCAGCATCAGAATTACAAAACACACAGGAAGTGTTAGCATTCAAAATCAGCACACCAATTCTTTGCAAAAACTCTGAGGTCTTAATTCTTCCTTTCCATGCTAATCAAGCAAAAAAAAAATTGAGCTTTATGAGGAGTGACATTATGCAACAACATCCCAGGACAAGAGACATTCAGCCCAAGGGCAGACTCAGACCATAAAGACTGAATGCACCATAAACTGACCTGAGGATGAGGCAACCCATCTAATGTGATCAACAAAACCAACTCTAAGGATTGGAAAAAGCAATAGAAATATAACCACTCCAAATCCTTGAAAAAGCAGAAGGTCCATAAGATGGGAACCATCTACCTCCCTCAACTCTGTAAATGCTGCAAATCAAATGTTTACATAAAGCATTGTCTTCATATCCAAATCTCCACCACCACTTCACCAGCAAACAATCATTTACATTAACACGTGACATCACATCACCACTTAATAGTGTAATTGTTTTTATCTTTCCAACTCATCCCATTAACATTCCACATTTATATTGTGGAATTTATCATGCTTACAATGGAGATTATGATTGAATGATAATACAAGGTGTATAGGTCTGTCAACAAATTGGATTTTATCCAAATTCGTTAAAGAAAAATCCGATTCAATAATATGATAATTTGAATCCGTTTAATCCAATTATTAAACGGATCGGATATTCAAAACTCCAATTCAATTATCAATTTTTATAATTTTTTTTTTTAAATGAAATAAGAGTTAAAATTTTGTTTCTTTTTCATTCTCATTTTTTTATCTTCATAAATCCATCTACAAATTCAATATTCAAACTCTTCCTAAGGCCTATTTGATTAGAAAGAAAATTGATATTGGAAAGTGAAAATTGTATAGGAAGTGAAATAAAAAAAAAAAAGAGAAAAAGAAAAAGGGAAATATATAATTTGTTTGAAAAGTTGAAGACCAACTTTTTTTGGAATTATTAGAATATAAGCTGTCCAAATTTTTAGCTATCTGTGTTTTTTTTTTCCCCTTTATTTTCCAAATTAGAATCCATTATGGTTACAAACATAATTTTTAGAATCCTCAATTTGCATGAAGGAAACATAGTTTGAAAAATAAATAAATAGCTAAATGGATCAGATACAGGTTGTGATCCAATATGTTTATAGATCTACCCATGTAGATGTTGTTGTGGTATTACCGTTGAAATAATTTTTTTCTCCTTTCCTTACACACCACCGTCAAATATCCAAAATTATCATATATCTGTTTAATAAATTTTTTCTCCTTTCCTAACAAACCACACCACCGTCAGTGCAATTAGTTTGTTTGGTTCTTCTTCTTCTTCTTCTTAGAGAACAACGATCATGATTAATTATTTTTTGGGTTGGTTTGAAAAGTGGCATTTTTAGTAATTTTTTAATTTTTTGACTAAAATATGAGTTAAAAAAATAGAATGAAGGAGAAGGATTTTTAATTTTTTTTTTTTATATAAGTTAAATACTTTTTTAATAATTTTTTTGGCTAAAATAACTTCAATAAGGTCTTTGTCTTTTAAAAATTTCATGTTGATATATATCTGACCAATGACAAGAATAATAATTATAAGGATAATTAAAATTAGATACGCACACGACTACATAATCTCTTTACCTATGTGATCATTTCTATTTCATCTGATACAAGAAGAAAAATAGTTTTGGATACAAAGATAATTACCTATGAATGGTGGGGCAAAAATAAT